TCTACAGAGTGAGTTATAGGACAGCCAATGCTACACAGAGAAACCCTGTCTCGAAAAACCAAACCAAACCAAACCAAAAACAAACAAACAAATTATCTTCACTGGCCAAATCTGAGGTTCAGAAATAAGAACTAGTCAGGCATCAGGAAATACAGCTGTCATCCAAGCACTTGGAAGGATAAAGTGGGAAGAGAGAGGTTTCCAGGCCATCCCATGCTATGTCCTAAGACCTTGTCTCAAAAATAAAACAAAGGGAGAGAAGGTTATTCCAATATTACAAAACATAAACTATTAACATTTGTAGTATAGAAAAAGAGAAATAATGTCACATTTTAGAAAATGATAATTGGTGAGTTCAGGTAGACAATATAGACTCAGAGAGTTTTTTCAACTCTGTAGACTTGAAATTAGTCTAACCTAAAAGGAGAGAAAGAACAAAGATTTTTCTTTTAATAATATTGCACCCCTGGCTCCCAGCATGGATAGTTTGAGACCACCAACCTGTCTTTCTCGAGCAGGAAAATTAAAATGAGTGAGTTCTGGGCTCAGGCACCAGACATTCTCTTGGAGACTAGAATCTGACTGTAGCAAGGGGTGAAACAACCACATGCTGAGTTTTAAGACTGTTATGAGGTAGGCTAATATTATCATCAATACGGACAGTTAACAAGTTAAGGTGCCATTCCGTCTCTCCAGTGCTAAATGCTCTAATGCTTTCATATGACCTGATGCCTTTCAGTGTTGACCTGCCTTTTCCCTTTCTTGTTAAGGCTGTCTATCATTTACAGGAAGGGAAATGGTACGTACCCTACAGGAAAGAAGCCCTCCTCTTTCAGAATAAAGGACAGATGGAAAGGATTGTGTGATCGCCATCTACTGGGAAAATTCTGGTACTGCCTCGTAACTCCTGTATTGTGCCCCAGTCAGAACCCAAGAATCCAGTCCCTTCTTCACAGAAGGCAGCATAATGCCCAAGTCCAGTTAGACAGTCAGCAGAAAGACATATGAATCACTTCTCCTCTTTTTGTTCGCTTCGAATCTGTGCAGTGACAGAATGAAACATCAGCAAAAAGAACCTGAGAACACAAAACCTGTGTCTTCTTGGGTTTGACTTTGTTTCTACAGATGGAATTTGCCTTTCTTGAGGACTCACTGTAACACTCCATTTTGTGCCTGTGACTGTGATGACACACACCGTGTGGAACGAGGCTTTCAAAACAGGCAGAATGCAATCACACCTTCCATGTGTCCAACACAGAATCAGATGCGGAGAGAAATCTGGCCCTTCCTCTGTTTGTTTAATTCACAGAATGAACTGCCTTCCATGTTTGTTTTTACTTCTTGTTGTTTTTATCTTCCTTGGCTGACTGGCAGGTTCTACGATGGAAGTTAAGATGGAAGAGACCGTGTCTATCTGCTTCTCGTTATGTGCCCAGTACCCTGAGACCATTCTTTGGAATGAATCTCCCTATTGATGATTTAAAAAAAAAAAAATCACAAACTTCCTGCTTAGCCTGTCTGGTGGGATGGTTATGTGCCCTAAGCCAGGTCTGTGGTCCTTCAGGAAGCCTGACTCCTAGAGCGGTGCCATCAGTAAGCCAGCCAGAGCAGCCGGCTGTCATTCTGAGGCTCCACCCAACATGCAACCAACACAGCCTTTAGGAAAGGCCACTCATGGGATATCTCTGGGTACCTGCTTTTCAGATGAACTTGAGGTCCCTAGTTACTCTTCCATTGTGCACATGTGTGGCATCTTGCCCCTTCAGCTCCTCTCATAACTTGCTCTCTTTCCTCGCCACCCAGCCACTGAGTTGGCACTCCTGACTAATAGTCTTTGTGCATGGTGCTACTCTGCTACATGGGCCTTAAAAGATTTTGCTAGAATTACCTGTCAGGGGTCACTTTTCTGACTGGGTGGGTTAGTTTTTGCCGATTTGACACAAACTAAAGTCACCTGGAAAGGGGAGCGTCAGTTAAGAAATTGCCCCTCTCAAACTAGTCTGTGGACTTACTGCTGTGGGAAAGCTCACTGTGGGTGGTACCATTCCTGGGAAGATGAGCCTGGATGTAGAAGAAAGGCAACTGAGTAAGCCAGGGGGAGCAGGCCAGTAGGCGGCATTCTTCATGATCTCTGCTTCAGTTCTTGCCTGTGATTCCCTCAGCAATGAATGGAATAAGCCCTCCTCCTCTATCCTGAGGTTGATTTTGGTTATAGTCTTTTTTCACAGCAACAGAAGGGAGATTGATATACCCATCGGACCAGCGATATACCAAGAATCCAAATGGAGTTCAAAGGCTGAGCTCTACCACATGAGGCCCTCTACAGTTTGATCTGGCCTACTTTTCCACTCACCTCTCAGCACTCCTCAGTACCATCACATACAGCCAGCCAAACCGGAAATCACTGCTTGCCTGAAGATGCTCTGCATTTTTATACCCCGACCTTTCCATTCCCTCTGCCCAGAGCACTGTCCTATTTTTCCAACCCCTGAGCAAGGCCATCACTCAACCATCCCTTGTCAGAAAAGTCCCTTATTTTTGCTACAGACAGAGACCACTGGGGGGAAAAAAAACACAACCAGTCAGCATACAATTCCAATAGATGAATCTACAGGAGGACATTAAGGAGTGGGGGGCAAAATGATTATAAGAGCCCGAGGAGTTTGCTCTGAAATTGTGTTTTCTAATGTCAGAAGTTACAGCTGTTAAGTCTCACCACATGACTGCATAAGGATGACACCGATGAACATGCCAAACTGGACAGAGAAAACCCCACAAGGCCTCAACCATATATAAGAACTGTAGACTACAGTGGGAGAGGTGGCCTTCCCCAGGGAAGGTCACACAAGTTGGCTGTCTAATGCCAAATGGTCAGCCCTGAAAACATACACACACGTGCCTTTATACAGACTGAACAGGTTATGTTTAGAAACATAGATGTATATACATATATGTATGAAATAATAATTAGGGTTTTTTTAAGAGTCTAAAGATTTGAAGGGGAGCAGGGAAGAGTGAATGGGAGAGTTTGGGGGAAGGAAAGGGAAGGGGAAAATATTGCAATCAAATTATAATTTCAAGGACGTGCCCGATATGACTCTATGTCTGTGTAATTGTCTACTTAACTGTGGTCTCAGAGCACTAAGTCCAACCCAAGCTCATAGCTCATCCGTGACTCCCACTGCACTTGAATAGCATCTAAACTCTTTACCTAACTTACCTGCAGGGCCACACACGATTGAATCTCTGCTTTCCATTTCACCCACACATAGTCCCAATATAATCCAAAGCAAGCGAGAACCCCAAAGTTGTCTTATTTACAGCAAACCCCAACATGAAATCTGAAGGCATGCATGGTGTTTCTCTGTGTGTGTGCGTGTGTGTGCATGCTCATGTATCTGCATGTGCGTGGATATCAGAGGAGCTTGGCTGTCATTTCTCAGATACTGTTCACCTTTGTTTGTTTGTTTGTTTTTGTTTTAATCTATGGGCGGCCTTACACTCACCAAGTCGATTAAGCTTGGCCATCTGCTATCTCCAGCCATCCACCTGTCTCCAACTCCCCAAAACCACCATTCCCAGCATTTTACATGGGTGCTAGAGACTAACCGTGGGGTCCTCATGCTTACATGGCAAGCGCTTTACTGGCTGAGCTGCCTCTCCAGGACCCTTTGCCTTTCCTAACCTAGGACTAAAAGCAGCTTTGTATTGGCCTCCTCACCATCCTACCAATTAGAGGCGTGTGGAAAACAAGTCAGTCTATTGTTTATGTGCATGGCGTGGGACTTTCCACATGGACTTATCTCACTTAACCAGCGCTACAAGATAAACAGCGTTCTGTCCTGTTTAAAGAGACGACAGCACAATGACTGAGGCTAAGTGACTCGCCCAATGTCATAGGTAGTTACAGGCAATCATTACTTCGGCCCAGTTCTGTGTCATTGTTCTCCCACACCATCTCACGGAACTGCCGCCAAGGTGAAGTTGGGTGATATCCTACAGCTGACCTGGGGGGGAAAAAATCTACAAAGCCCCAGATTAAATTTCCTAGAACCCAATTAAAGTGGCACGGACATTTTAAATCGGCAGAAGAGACCAGCACTTTATAGTTTATTTACCCACCTTCGAAACCTGCCACCCTGGAATACAGACATACCCCTCTCCTCCTCTGGCCGTGGTGGAGTCTTAAAACAACTAGTATTTGGCTACTAATTGCGTCCAGCGGTTGGGGTCAGCATCGCTCGGAAGCATCTCTGTAAACTAGGAATGTCCCTCACAGACGTGAAGTGGATCATCCCAACTGCTTATGATTACACTAAGAAACAAATAAAGCAGGCCTGCTGGAAGCACGCCACATGGGCATTGCTGCGGAGGCAGGCTCTCAGAGGACATTCGAGGCCAGCTGGGAGGAACAGCCTGGACTGAGAGAGGTGCTGGGTTTCCATTCTACTTTCAAAGAGCTTTGAAGTCCAGAGAAGAATAACAATGACTAATACTCTGAAGTCAAGTACTTCCCAGAAGAATTCCCTTCCAGGGCAAAGTGGTGTGCTGGCAGCTTGCTGTGTTTTCAAGAACTTAACTCAGGAGATGAGAAATCAGTCGGAGAAATTCCTAGTTTAAAATACACAAGTGACAGCAGTCTATTTCACTGTCTGCTGACCTAAGCCACCTCGCAAGTTCTCCCGGCGTCTGTCATGTCACATGTGGAACATTTCGGCTTCATTTGAACAAAAGGCGAGCTTGAGGACCAGATAAGGAAGCTCCTGGAAGTAACAATCCCGAACGCATGCCCACAACCCACCCTCAACAGAACGGAAACGCATCTTTATTTTGTTAGGCCTACCTACAAAGCCCTCTAGCCACAAGCCTTCCAAAAATCAGATTCCAACAAGATAAACCTCAGTTGTAATCTAAGCTGGGACCTAAAGGTGGAACGAAGATGGAGTTCTGCGTGTGTGCAGGGGCCTGCTTAAGCTGCGTGGGCACAAGGATCTACTTACGCATACAGTCCCCTCCGTACCAGCCTGCTCTGCACTCGGCGCAGTAGAATCCCTTGACGTAGAAGTCATCCAGAGTCCCGCCCCAGGAGCCGTTCCGGCAGCTCTTGCAGTTTTCAAAGATGGTACAACCTGAAACATCCCAAAATATCAGTCTACACATTTGCAGATTGAGTTTTCCTCAGGAGACAAACTATGCCTCTACGCAGCCCCATCTCTGCCCGGGACAGCTAGACCTGGAAAGACAGCAAAGATCTTAGGAGAACTGTTCATCCCAAGGAAGAGGAGAGTCACCGGGATCCAGGCAAGGGGTGTGGGAGGGAATTTAAGCGTTGATTAGCGGTGGTTGTTTCATAGAAAGTAATGCAAAAGAGCTTGTCGTGTTGGGTGGAACCGGCTAGTGTGAAAAACTTTCTGTTCTTTACAAATCTATTTCATGTTTGCTGTATAATAGAAAACAAAAATTATTTTTTTTAAAGGTATCACTTGGAGATTTCTGTTAACACTCCGGTGGCTGGGAAGACAATCCAGACCTGAGTTCAAGCCCAGGTACCCAGGTTAAAAACAAACAAACAAAACAAAACAAAACAAAACTAGAAATAATGGCATGAATTGTGATCTCAGTTTTGCAGAGGTGAAACCCCAGGCAGAATCATGGGGCTCCCTGGCCGGCCAGCCTAAACTACTTCTCAAGTTCCAGGCCAGTGAGAGACCATGCTAAAAAACCAAGATAGGCCATGTCTGTGGAGTGACAGTCAATGTTGTCTTCTGGTCTCCACACACATGTGCACGCATGTACACACACACACACACACACACACACACACACAAACCCACATACACACAAATTAGACTTCTGCTATACACCACGCATTTTGTTTTAATAACTCATTTTTATTTACTAATAGTAAGTACCTTTCTATTAACAAAAGCACGGCATGGCCTCGGCACCAGGTACTGTCTTGCTCTGGAACGATCGGGCACGCAAAGCACGCCCGTAAGAACTGCCTGTTGTTCAGGTGTGGCTCATCTCAAAAGCAAGGTCTCTTGAAGGGTTGAGGGAGAACAAGAAAAGGTAGAAATATTTCTTCCCCTTTCTCAAAACAAAAACTTAAGCCGGCTAATGCCCTCACCTGTCAAGAGGTGATTAAATTGTATCCACCTCTCAGAACTGTTTGAAAACACATTAAACATGTGTAAAGTGACGCACGGTAGTTAGTTAGTGCTCTCTGATTGTGAACTATTATTGTTCTACTTTCCCATAATTCCACCTGACTTATCCTTACCATTGTATACTCTAGGCCTAAGGTTACCTGCTTAGGTAACCTTAAATTCCCAAAACCAAGAACAGTGCTGAATAAAAATTATCCTAGAGAATGAATGACTGAGGAACTGCTGGAGCTAGATGACCACTGTTGTTTGGGTCAACAGCATGCGTCTTTGTGTGTGTGTGTGTGTGTGTGTGTGTGTGTGTGTTTTCTATAGCAATGGGACTCAACTCAGCCCTCTTTCCATTCTATCTAACTTTGCTTTCCTTCCTACCAGAGAAGCTGAGTTGCTGATCTGATTAATATGGTCAGCAGTGGGCTTCCTCAAGCCTTGCGAAGACCAACCTCACTCATGTGTGACTGAGGAGGCAAATGGACCCAGAGCCTGTCCTCAAGAGCCCTGCTAATGCTATTCCTTGGAGCAGCCACAAAACCCGGCCTGGAGATGAAGGTGGGCGAGGCTTTGCAGGGAACACTGGGAAACTCTCGGGTTGCTGGTGGCCAAAGGAGCTATTGCAGACCCCATTTGCTTTTACCTCCAGAGCTCAGGGGTTGGTTGTAGGGCACCACACCGAACTTATGCAGGGTTGGGACCAAATCCAGGATGTGCACTCAAACCAGTTGAGCTACATTCACACACACACACACACACACCAAAGTAAGACTGTCATGTTCTTACATGACAGTCATGTAAACTGAAGCCATAATGGCATTCAATTGTCTACCTATGGGTTGATAAAAAATACAGATGACATGTTATGTTACATTGGTTGACAAAATAATACCCTCATATACCCTCAGCGTGAAGTGACTGCTAAGTACATAGCAAAGAATTACACAAAAAGCAAAAAAAAAATATATATATATATATATATATATATGTGCCTCCCTTTGACCCCTGACCTCACTTCTAGGAGTATACCTCAAAGGTAAACTGCCAAAAATCTAATTGATATTTGCTTAGGAGTATTCACTCTAGTGTTGTCAGAATAGGTTGGGCATGCCTAATCTGAGATTTTTAAAATTTAAAATAGAGTCTGTGTGTATGTGAGAGAGAGAGAGAGAGAGGACATACAACATAACTAGAAAATTCCATAGATGGCCTTATGTGGCAGATAATAACCAAAACAAAGGTATATGAAAAATACTGCCTAAAATTTACCTCAAACTATGAGTAAAATTTTCTAAGAAATAAGGGATTTCATGTTTAGCCTTAGGTGTCCCCTCTAAGACATTTCATTGCTAATAAATGCAAAATTTCCTAAAAGCTAAAATCTAAAATATGTTGGGTCCCAGGCACTGTGGATAGGAAATACTAAATGTACACTAGCAAAGGGTTAGAAGCAACCCAGTGACAGTTAACTGTATTAATCCACACAATGCGGCCATATGCAACTGTAAAAAGAAATGAAGAAGCTGGATCTTTCTGATATGAAATATCCCCAGCGCATTTTGCTAAGCAAAAAATCCTGCAAAATAGTTGGTAATGTTTGTGGTTTTGTTGTCTTTTGTGTGGAGCGGGGAAAGAGAAATAAATGCATGTGCCTATTCTCTTGCATTTGCAGATATAGAAGAAAATTAACCTATCTAGATATTAGATAGGTGGTATAACACCAAAAAGGAAGCCACGTCCATTGATTTTACAGTATAACATTTTGATTTTACACATCCACCAGCATGTATTCTAAAGCCAATGGTAACCATAAAGAATCGTGACTGTATGCAGCAGGATTATTGGTGGTACAGATAAGGCTATTGTTATTTTTGCTCATTTATAGTATGCTATACTATGAGGCAAATAAGGAATTACATTAGTATCAATAGGAAATGGTTTTTTTTTGGCATCAGAGGAAAAAAATCAAAGAAGTAAATAACCTTGTACTGTTATGTATGGATTTGAGTATTAGTGTACATTCTTTTTTCTTCTTCTTCCTTAAAAAGGAGTAGATAGAGATTAGATAATAGGGAATGAGTCAGAGATAGATAGATAGATAGATAGATAGATAGATAGATAGATAGATAGATAATAGACAGATAGACCACACCTTTAATCCCAGCATTCAAGAAGCAGAGTCAGAAAGATTTTAAGTTCAAGAACAGCCTGAGCTACACAGAACTATCTTATCTCAAAAGCATCAGAGTGTGTGCACGTGTGTGCATGTGTGTGTGTGTGTGTGTGTGTGTGTGTGTTAACATGTATCACACAAATAAAGAAACCAAAAATCAATTGCCTGTCAACAATGGCAATCCAAAAGCCAGGAATACCCCCAGTACCCAGACTGCGCTCTTAGGATAAGAGTTTGTTGGAGAAATGGCTGATTACAGATCTGGGGTTGAAAGCACATATGAAATCTGAAAGACTTGTTGAGGATGGAAACCCAAGAAGTCTTCCAAAACCCGTGTGAGCACTCCAGTGGTTCATGTCTGAAGGACTAAAGGACATGAAGGCTCTCTCAGTGTATGTGATCATGGATATTACGTGCTAAAGCAGCTCCCAATGACACACGCTGAGACTTGCTGGGTTCCCAGTGCTGGCTGCTAGTGCATCAGCTCACTGCTCTAGGAGGAGTGCCAAAGCAGCCCTTTGCCCATGCATTGCCTGCCTTGCAGGGTAGCAGAAGATTGGTGTGGGACAGCCCTCCACTCCCCAGAGCCAATCACCACTCCAAGCACCCCTGAAGGAGAAATCGCAGATCCTGGCTGGGACTGGTAGGTTGTACCTTTCTTGCCTATCATGTGACTGACTGACCCCCACATCACTTTATCATAGCTGAGGCTACCCTGTGATTGCTTAACAGTAAATGCACATCTCCCCCAAACCACTCAAAATCATGCAGACTAGTGTCCCTAAGGGCTAGTGTCCTTCTTCACCAGCACAGTCTGATCTTTCACCCTTCAGTTCCAGAAAGCTCACTGGGCCGTCTCTGTGTCCCCCATCTGACCTGTCCTAGAGGGACAAGATGAGCCTCCTGGGGGCGAGAGAATCAGTATCCATCATCTCTGATTTCCGCTCTTCCCTCCCTTCACTCTCCTCCTCCAGCCCAATCCCAAACCATGCCCAATTCCACTCCTGATGACTCTCAGGCTGTCACCTAATTCTGCCCACCAGGCTCCTGACCTTCATCAAAGTCCCCATTAATTCCCTCCTGCCAACCATACTGCCCTCCTCCAGGTCCTCTCCCCATCTGTAGCTGAAGAGAAATTACTTTTAACCCTTTACCAAAAGATCTCCAAAAGCCTGAATCTCATAGCAGGGCTTTGGAAAACGTTCTTAATTTGGCTCCTGTTCCTTCCTTCAAACTGCTCTTGCTTAATGTCTCTTGTCCATCTCCCTCTCCTCACATCTCACCGCATAAATTTGCTTTTCCTGGCAGAATGACCTCCTTGGAATTCTCAACACTGCATGCTTCCTCTTGACACAGGTTCTTTGCACACTATCACCAGCTGAGCCCCTCCAGTCCCCTGGACCCTCTTCGGTCTGCTGCTTCCATTGTCAGTACACAGGTCACATCACCTTGCTTAATAAGTCTTCATTGATCTTTCCTCTGCCCCTCCCCACTCCCATCCCTGTTACCATGACACCCCGTTCATCTCTATCACAGCACTTACATAGCACCTATCACGGCTACCTGTCCCCTCAGGCTCCGATACCAGGCTGTACGCTCGGGCAATGTTGGGAATGTGTCTTTAAGCAAAAAGGCTGGAGAGACGGCTCAGTGAATGAGAATGTATACTGCTCTTTCTGAGTTAGGGTCTGATACTCATGTCAGGCAGCTTACATGCCAAACTGCCTGTAACTCTAGCTCTGAAAGATAGATGCTTTCTTCTGACTTGGTCAGAAGCAGGCGTGCATACACACACACACACACACACACAAATATTAAAAATATTAAAAAAAAAAACAAACACCACATTATCCTCCCCATAACTGCTTAAGAGCTACTCTGTCTGCTTGCTTCTTGAACGAATGAGTGGGCAAATTCTCGGCTTTACAACTTGATCCCAGAAAAGAATCCTAATTCCCCCGATTCCTTTTTCCTGCAGTCAGACTTGTATGAGTTGTGTCACTCTTAATCACCTTGGCACCCACAGCCCTGGATGGCTGCCTGCTGGAATCCAGACATTCACCCTGTGCCTGTTCACTACCTCAGGTAAAGGGAGAGCAGCTCGTGGTGGCCCGTGGCACACTCACCTGGGTGGATTAGGCAGGAGTCACATTCATTGTCCTCATTCCTGCAGCATGGGATGGTGTAGCCCACCACTTCCTTCTTTCCTGGGCAGACGCACTCAATTTGATCATATTCGCAACATTCCCTACACATGATGTTCCACTCGGCTCCAGGGCAGGCTTCATTAATGACCGTGTATTCTGCAACAGAAAACCGGCAGGTGAGGCTGGGGCCTGGCGGCATGGGAGGAAAACCCCACCAACGCTCCACCGTTAGGAAGCAACCTTGACCTACCAGAGTTGTCCTTTCTGAATGAGAGGGACATGGGTGTGACCTCTTCCCAGGCCAGTACCTCCAAAGCGAGGTGGCCTACCCCAAGGGGTCTCCAAAGCCATTCATTGAAATACAGATAAAATTTGTTCTGTTTCTCATCTTATTTTCGACCTTTGAAGAATCATGCTTCAAGAGCCATGGGATGTAGCTCTCTTGGTGGAGTACTTGCCAAACTAATCTGCATGAAGCTGTGGTTTTGATCCTCTTTCCCACATAAACTGGGTGTGGCAGTGTACACTTGCAATCTCCAATGCTTGGGATATGGAGGCAAGAGGATCATGAGTTCTTGGTCTGTGTAGCAAGTTCTAGGCCACTCTGAACTACAGGAGACTTTTTCTCAAATACATACATAAATACATGTGCACATACATACATGCATACATTTTTAAACATGCTTCGGTAAATACAAGCAGACAAACAGTTGAATGCCTTTATAATCAATACACCAACACAAATTTCTTATGTTCAGTGTTTGTTTTAGCTCTGTTGGGGATTGAAACCAAAGCACTCATCACCAACTGTAGCCCCTCCTCAGTCCTCATTTCCATCTTTCTTGAGTTAAGTCTGGTCACTGTTTATAGCTGCATGCATTGCTCGCTGCACCTCACCGTGAGAGACCACGCAACTGTGGAACGGCCCACAACGGGGCCCATCAGAAAATCCCAGAGACCACCGTCTAGATGGATCCGTTCAAAGGCAAGGCTGGTAGCCAAGTGGAGACTATGTCATTGCTTCCCAGCTTGGCTCTTCAGTGTTGTGCCATGTCATAGTCATAGTATCGTCAAAGATAAAACCAACAGAGAAACAAAAGTACCTTCATGAGTATGTTTGGGAGAAGTCAAGGGTGGACTCATTAGCCCAGCTTAGTACAACCAGGAATTCTTTTCCAGGAGAAAAAGTGTTTGTTTGTTGGCAGGATATTCTTCCTTTCATTCTTTTTTTTCATTTCCTTTTCATATATACAAAAATATACCTTAAGTAAAAAAGAAAACCATCTGGCAAAGTCTATAAGAGGAATCAGCTGGAGGCTGCACAGAGAAACTCAGGCTAAAAAAAACAGACTTGCTAGCTTGTATTTAGTCTTCTTGTTTTTCTCCCCCCCCCCCACTTTCCATTTCTAAAATTGTTGCATAAGATGATGAAAGCAGAAGTGGGTCAGGTATTTGCAGAAGAAAGTGTATCTATCTGGGCAAGGTCCCACGATCCTTCCCTAGAAACTCTCTGCAGAAATCCCAGCATGCCTCATGCCTAGCATCTGAGATAGCTTGAAGACCTTTAAGTTTCGTAATTTAGCTCTCTGTTTCCCTCCCTCACATCTGTAAATTCCAACACAAGTTTGGTCACTATTAGTTTATCAAATAGAACCTGAAAAAAAAAAATCACCATCCTCTCTCAGACTCAAGTTAAAAGAACATTCTAGAACCATGCAAAAGAACTGCTTGCATATTTTGGGATACTTCATTAAATCAGATAAGCTCAGTGTTATGAAAAACTAGCTTGCTTTCATCCTTTTGTACAAATGCCAATGGACCAGCAATGACCCTTGCCTTGGTGTCAGATTGGCAAGAGGTTTTGTTTCGGGAGCTCTAAGCTTTGTACACAGCCCTGCCTCCATGCTGTTAGCCTAACTTCTGAAATCTGGATGGGAATGGAAGAGGAGGATACACAGCGCCAAAGCATATGACTCTGGATTCAGCAATGAACATCATCATCATCATTATTATAGATTTCATGCCATATAGTTTTATAATATTCTTTCCTGTCCCCCAACTCTTCCCAAATCCTCCCCCTCTCTACCCATCCACCTTCATGTTCTTTCTCTCTTTAAAAAGAAAGAGAGAAAAAAGAAAGAGATCGAGAGACAAAGAGAAAGGAAGAAAGGAAGAAAAGAGAAAGGAAGGAAAGAAAGAGATAGAAAAAAGAAAGAAGGAAGGAAGGGAGGGAGGGAGGGAGGAAGGAAGGAAGGAAGGAAGAAAGAAAGGAAGGAAGGAAAAAAGGAAAGAAGGAAAGAGAGAAAGAAAAGAGCCGCTAAAAACCACGGAGTCCAATTTGTGTTGGCCAGCAACTCCTGAGCAGGGCCTGTCCTGGGTGATTTACCCAGTACCACTCCACTGGAGAAAACAGATTTTTCACTTTCCCAGCAGGTATCAATTATAAATAGCTTCTTGGCTAGGTGTGAGACTTTGTATCTACTTCCCCTTCTTCCTGCTGGGATTTTGTCTGGTTTAAAATTGTGTGGGTCTGTGTATGATGTCAAAGTCTCTGTGAGCCGATGTGTGTACCTACCCTGTTACGTCTGGAAATCGTGATTTTCTTAAAATCATTCACCACCTCTGGGTCTTACAACCTTTCTGCCCTCTCATACACATGGATTCCTGAGCACTGAAGGGAAGGGCAGGATGAGAACACCCCATTCAGGGATGAGCACCCCAAAGCCTTTCATTTTCTGTACATTGTCCAGTTGTGGGTCTCTGTTAATTTACCATCTACTGCAAGAAGCTTCTCTAATGAGGACTGAACAAAGCACTGATCTGAGTATTGAAATATATCAATAGAAGTCTTTTGTTTTAAAAAAATATTATTTACTTAATTTTTATCTACAGAGTATTACTACCTTCTTTAGAACAAGAAAATTTACAAATGAGTGATAATGCTTTTCTTTTGTCAAAAACTGTTTCAAATAGGAGAGCATACATCGTCATTTGCATTTAGGGTAATATGGTGGTAAACAGTGGATATCAATATTTTTATCTATGCTTTAATAGTTTATCAACAATTAATTTTTTTAATTTTTTAAAATTTATTTATTTTTATTAATTACAGTTTCTTCACTTTGTATCCCCTCATAAGGCCCTCATTGGCCAGCTGTTAAGATGTAAGTAATCGGGAGGGAAAAAAATCAAGAAAAAGAAAGACCTATAATCATATCTCTATGAAGATTTATAAAACAAATTCTCTGCAACATTTTTACAGCATCATAGTTCTTCCCATCTTCTAAGCTAAGTACACTGGTTATGAATCTCTTTTTCCAACATATGTTTAAAGTCTATAACAGTAAGACAATTTGTTGACTAATTTTTACAATGGATGCCCTTCTATTTTTATGCAATAAATTATATCTTCCATAAAAATGGTTTATTACAGACAAACAAGAGACAGAGGTTTAAAAAATAAATATTATACAGGGATAAATAATAGTTTAGCCAGTCACAGTAGTCTAACCCAAGTAACATTTTAAAAAAAACCTTTCAGAACATAAATTTTTTTAATTTTCAAAATGGCATTGAAATAGCAATGTGAATTATTCCTATGACATTGTGACTTTAGTCACATGAAATAGATACTTTTGAGAATTCCTATCAAATTTATAGATTTTTTCCATCATAACAAAGACATTAAACCATAAATTTTACTCCAAGCCACAGAATGAGAAATGCACTCACAGCAAGTTTCAATGAATTAGCATCACTCTGAGGCTCACTGGGCCTGTCCTTTTTACCCTAGGAACTTGAAAAATGGCCACCATTTTGTTATTATACTAAGATGAAAATTACCTTCATATAAAAATATTTTTCCAGTTGAAATACATACAGAGCAGTGCTAAGAGGAAAGTTCATAGCACTAAGTGCCTACATTTAAAAAGAAATGGAGAGCTCTCACACTAGCACCTTATTAACAGCACACTTGAAAGCTCTAGAGAAAAAAAGAAGTAAACACATCCAAGAGGTCTATACTGAAAGAAATAATTAAACTGAGGGCTAAAAATCAACAAAATAGAAAAACAATATTAAAAATCTATGAAACGAAGAGTTCTTTGAGAAAATCGACAACAGAGACAAACGTTAGCCTAAAAGATGCAGAGAGAATAACAAATTAACAAATTAGCAAACCCAGAAATGAAAAGGAGGATATAACGGACACCAGTGTAATCCAGAGAATCATAAGGACATATTTTAAAAACTCGTACTCCACCAAATTGGAAAATCTAAAAGAAATGGGTCCTTTTTTCAATAGGTACCACTTACCAAAGTGAAATCAAGACCAGATAAGCAATTTAAAGACATGTCACCCCTAGTGAAATATAAGCAGTCATTAAGTCTCAAAAACAAAAACAAACACAGGACCCGATGGTTTTAGTGTAGAATTCTACCAAACTTTCAAAGAAGAGTTAACACCAATATTCCTCAAACTATTCCACAAAATAGAAACAGAAGTATCATTGCCCAATTCATTTTGAGGCCACAGTTATCCTAATATCCAAACCACATAAAGACTCAACAAAAAAAATGGAATTATAGACAAATTTCCCTTATGAACATAGATGCAAAAATACTCAATAAAATACTTGCAAACTGAATTCAAGAACACATCAGAAAGATCATTCACCATGGTGAAGTAGGTTTCATCCCAAAGATGCAGGGATGGTTCAACATATGAAAATCTGTTAATGTAATACACTATGTAAACAAACTAAAAGAAAAAAATACATGATCATCCAAATACATATTGAAAAAGCATTTCACAAAATCCAATACCCTTTCATGATAAAAGTCTTGCAGAGATCAGGAATACAAAGGACATACCTAAACATAATAAAGGCAATTACAGCAAGCCTATAGCCAACAGCAAATTAATTGGAGAGACTCAAAGCAATTTCATTAAAATCAGAAACAAGACAAGGCTTCTTCTCTCTCCATAGTTATTCAATATAGATATGAGCAGTAAGACAACTAGAGGAGATCAAGGGGATACAAATTGGAAAGGAAGAAATCAAAGCATCCCTATTCGCAAAGGCTATGATAGTATACATAAGTAGTGATGCCAAAAATTCTACCAGGGAACTCCTACAGTTGATAAACACCTTCAG